TCTCGGCCAGAAGTCCATATTTAATAGAACAATATCCAAAGCCGCCAAATTGGACAAGGACGCTAGTTCATTGCTCACTGAAAACTATCCCCGAAAGATACCTTTATATATATGTATATATATTTGTTGCATGACCCATCATAAGGTGCTTTCATGGGCAAATTAAACTCTTTCCTACTAATTTTATATCTTATGTTAATTTTGTTCGTATAGTTCTAATTGGAACAATTTTATTTTTGAAGTTTTATATAGCTTTAATGTAGTCTAATTGATACCGTGTTTTTAAAAACTAAACAGACCAAGGACAAAATAGCACAATAACTCTCCAAAAAGTGATTAAGGGTTGACACTCTAATTTAAAATAGCTCATTCTCTCATGAATCTACCGTATTGTCATTATTTTTTTGTTTAATTTCTTAGCGAATGTTATCAATCTAATTAAATTGACATACTATTAGAAATTAAGAGAAAAAATTGATACAATTGGAACTATAGGGACCAAATTAATACAAAAAAACAAATTATAAAAACTATGAGTATAATTGGCCATGCTTTTTATTTACACCATGAAACTATCTCATTGCATCCTTCATTTTTATTTATTTCTTCTTATAATTTTTTCCTTGTGTAAAATAACCATTGACAGTCCTAAAAATTCAAAACATAATTTCTCAACTCACCACCCCTTTTTCCCACCATCTCCACTAACCCACCAATTGTCACTACCACCTTGAACATTCCCTCCTCTTGTTCACACTACCCTAACCCCTCAATTGCGAATTACCCCAACCCTTCCATACACACCACCTCAACCTGTCCCTTCCCAGCCCACCACCCCCTTCTATCACCCTCAAAACCTCTATTCTTAGAAACGCTAACAATGTCACTACCCTCGTTTGACACCATGGAACCTAGATTTGAGAGAGAGAGAGAGAGAGAGAGAGTATGAAATTGGAGTTGAGAGTAGGTTTTTTTTATTAAAAAAAAAAGGGTTAGGAAATAAAATTATTTTTAAATTTTTTTAAGTGTAATAAGAAAAGAGGTCTAATGTCATGTGACATGCTTATGATGTTGATAATGACCACTGTGATTGTAACAAGTGGTTGTTATATATCATGGTATTTTTTACCACTTCACCTTCTACATAGGATAATGAGTTTTATCATAAAAAAAAAAAAAAAAAATTGCATCTTATAGATATAGATAATAATTTTTTTTATATATGAATTGACGATAAAAAAATATAGAAATAATCATGCCAGCAACGACGTAATACATTTGGTGAAATATTATCTTTCTTTGTGGAAGAGAAAAAAAATAAAAAAAAATAGAGAGAGAGAGAGAGAGGTATGATGCCCCTATGATGTCATTTCTTTACTTGGGTTTACCATGCTAGTAAATAATGACCACCGCTTATTGTAATTTATCTTTCAAGTGGCTGCGATAGTAAAATGGTGGGGTAGAACTTTCATACTTCTGCAAAGCACTTTTATAAGATTAATTAATTTGTAGTGGTATTAATAAGCAAAGGATGAACTTAAGGGGAAATTATTAAATATTTTCAGAATATCACGTGTTTATATTTTATAATCAATTATGATTCAATATATTTTCTCGTATTCCTTAATTACCCAACACAATACTCTATCTACTCACATTCTCTACCAATCATAATATTATAGAATACCACATATTTATACTCCAGAATTATTGAATAATTATCCAAAATGAAGGAGTAAAATGAGGATTAAAGTAACCCACATGTGTTTGTGTATGTGGGTTATTTATTTATTATTTTTAGTTAAAATAAATAAATAAATAAAAGCAACCCACGTTAGAGCATAAACCATCCATTGATGCACATTGTTTGTGAAGCTATCATCATAATGTGTGAATTGGAGAAGTTTCATGGTGCTTCCCTATGGAGTATGGGTACTTCGAAAAACATGTCGTATTATGGTATTTATCGACATATGGTATTTCGTATGGTACTTCTACATATGTACCGGGTATACGAAACACGTACCCAACTTTTTTTTTTTTAATTTTTGGCATACCCAGACGTACCTAGTATATACCCAAGCCGTATCGTACCTCAGTTGAAACAATATTTTGTTCTACTCTAGAGATAAAACTTCTTTCACTAGATTTTTTTTTTTATTTTTAGTTTTCTATGTTTAGCATGATTTTAAATTACATTATGGTTTGTAAATTATTTAATATATTGACATTTAATTTTAATTATACCTTTACTTTTGGCATTATATGTTAATTATAAGTTGGATCTTAACAAATTAAACCATTAAATTAATTTTTGCATTATTCTAAATTAAAAATAAATATTTTTTTACAAACGTACCGAGCCGTACCCGTACTCTACTTTTTTTAGATTTTACCGTATCGACATACCCGTATCGTACCCATACCGATACTCGTACCCGTACCCGTGCTTCATAGGTGCTTACAAGAATTGTAGTCTTCGCAACCAATGCAAAGGGATTAACAAATAGAATGACGATTGCGATGTTTTCAAAACAAAAAATTAAATGTTGCACCAATATGGAGTACAATAGTGATATTAAATTTTTTGATCCATGGTTTTCCAATGTTTTAGTTGTTCAGGGCGAAAGATTTTGTCTCTAAATTTTCATGCCCCTATACTAAAACACTAATAATTGTTAAATTATGTTAAAAATTATTGATATATGATTTATTGGTTAATATTTTGGGGTGAAAGATCCTGTGTTGATTTTAAGAATTTTTTATGCAAACCCATGAAATTCTTAGACTAATTCAAAGGAAAGGGAATATTTTTTTTTTTTGAAAGTTAGTTTTCTATTTGTCACACAATTGGCTCTAAGCATGCCCCAATGGTCACTAGTGTTCACCGTCACACAATTGGCTCTAAGCATGCCCTAATGGTCACTAGTGTTCACCAAATATTGCATACTTGTTAGTGCAAATCTTTAGAAATCGCTTCATATTCAAAAAAAATCACCAAACGTATACTGCATTTCAATTAAGGCCTCGTTTGGGAACATGCTAATTTAGTAACTTTTTGACTATTTGACTAAAATATGAGCTAAAAAAAACTAATATGTTTCGAATGGCTTTTTGGCTTTTCACGAAAAGAAGTACAAAAAGTAGAGCGAAAAGAGAATCTTTGACTTTTTGGTATGGGTTGTTGGCTTTTTGACTTTTTTAGTAACTTTTTAACTTTTTGGCTAAACCGGCCTGTTGCCAAACGAGGCCTAAGTAACAAATAGGCTATATCTTCATATTTGACTTAGATATGATGATTTTGAGTAATAGTAGTAAGCAATGGACTACACAAGAGATTTTCAACCCCTAACCAACAAGCTTCTTTGCCTCAATTGTAACGAAATTGATACCATACTTTAATTATATTCTAGCTACCTTTGTTTTTATTTTATTTCATTATAATATATCACATTATAACGAACAATAATCACAATAAAAGTGAAATACAACATATCATTATTGTAACCAAAAAAAAAAACTATACTAAACTAAACTCTTAATGAATATGCAACTGAAATAAGAAGTCATACACAAATAGAGAGATTTTATGAAAAATATATGTAAAACAAGACATACACAAAGAGAAATTCGATAATAATATGTTATAATTTACATCATTGTCATTTAAAATATTTTAATAAAGGTAATTGAATTAGGTCAATAATTAAAATTGGCGTATCTCACTATGAAGGATGAGATTAATTTTCTTTTTCTTTATCATAATAAAAAAATTAAAAAAAATTGAGTGGAGTTTGATTAAGTAAATCTAAATGTACAGAGAATGAAATCAAATGTGAGATAAAAAGTTAATCTTCTATTAGGTGAACCTCACTCACGTGTACGACTTATCATTTATTTTATTTTTATATTTTATTTTGTTAAAATGTTATGTGTTTGTATCAAGCTGACTTTGATTTGGAAAAATAAAAGAGTTTGGTTAGATGAATTAATGAATGAACATGATAAATTAGGTAGATGGGGAAGATGCATGCATAGAGAGTAGAGAGAGGGCATTGATAGGGCACATATTGAATGGCCATGGGAAGCAAATCTTTGACAAGAATCAAAAGAAATTGCCATCTGTTTGCACCATTCTCTCTCTCCCCCCACCTGCTCAAGATATGGTAAGAGCACATGATTTCACACCCCCTGTGGAAAACTGGTCCCACCAATGCTGACCTCACCTGTATCTCTTGAGAGATTTTTGTGGGTCCCCTCCCCCACCTTCCAACTCTTTTCCTTCTCTCGTCTCCCTTCTTTTTTTTTATTTTATTTTCTTATCACACAACAATATTAGAAATTTACATTTTATATTTACAAATACATTTGATAAAAATAATAGATTTCATATAATTAGAAATTGTTTGGAATGTTCTAAATAAGTATATTTTTTGATTTTTTTTATAAAATATGAGTTAGATTTAAAGTGATAAGATAGAGAAATAATGTAACTTAAATAAGATGATGTGACTTAAATAGGATAATGACTTTTTCACTTTTGATTTTTTTTAAAAATGTCAAACTTAACCTAAATGTATAATTAATCAAAAAAGAATTAATACTTATCGAGTTATGTCATTATAAATTAAATTATAAAAAAAATTTAAAAGTTGCAAACATTTTCCCTTCTCACAACTCTCTCTTTCTTTTTATTAATTTCTTTCTCTCTCTCTCTGGTGTATATATATACAAAAAAAAACCCAACCTCAAGAGTCAATACAATAATCCCCATGTTGTTGTCTTGTAGATTTGCATTCTTTATTAATTGATTCTTTCTTTGTTTCTTTATTGTTATTACCTTTGCGTTTTGCTTGCCTTGTAATTCAAAACAAACTTGGAAAATTTGGCCATATCTTTGATCAAATCTGGTAAGATCTTGCTTTGTGGATTGTTGATTTTGATGGGTCTCATTTCAAATCAAAGCTCATCTTCTCTTCTCATCCTCCACCCATAGAAAACCTCAACCCAACTCAATTCTTCTTTCTTCCTCCTTCCTGTTCCTTTTTCTTTGCTTTGATCTTTTGGGTCTTCAATCTTCAATCTTGATTCTTGAATTGGAGCAATGGGCATGGCCACAGAGTCACAGTTTCATGTCTTGGCTGTTGATGATAGCCTCATAGACAGAAAACTCATTGAGAGGCTCCTCAAGACCTCATCATATCAAGGTAACTTTCTTGGCTACCAAACACACAAAAATTTCAGATAGAGCTCCTTTTGGTGCATGATTTTTATTGTATTGTTTCAGAGGTATTGAATTGCTATTCTCTATGGCAGTTACTACGGTTGATTCTGGTAACAAGGCTTTAAAATTTCTGGGCTTGCAAGAAGATGACCAGACCAACCCAAATCATCAACCTTCTTTTTCTCCAAACAATAATCAGGTATGCATTTCTGGGTTTTTCTGTCTCTTTCTCAGTCTCAATTTCTACGATTTTGAAAATTACTTTGAAATTTGCTATTTGGATTTGGATTGTCTAAAATTTTCTCTAATTTTGTGGATATATATACATATATATATTTACAGGAAGTGGAAGTGAATCTGATTATTACAGACTATTGTATGCCTGGAATGACAGGCTATGATTTACTCAAGAAAATTAAGGTACATTCAGCTTTATTTTCTTTTTGTTTTCTTCCTCTGCATTATCATGTTTTTTCCCCTGTTCTAAACCTTGCCAATCTCCATCATTTTCCTTTCCTGGATACGTCTATTTTCCTAGAAAACAAACAGATTTAATAAGCTAAACGTACTTCCACTTTGCAGGAATCTTCATCTCTGAAAAATATACCAGTGGTGATTATGTCATCTGAGAATGTTCCTGCAAGAATAAACAGGTAAGAATGAATTTCATGTTTATACATATTTAAAATTAAAATTTTCTTTTCCTAGAAATGGTATTTGGAGGTGAAATTGATTAGTGGGTATTGTTGATCATATTTACAGATGCTTAGAAGAAGGAGCTGAAGAGTTTTTTCTCAAACCAGTGAGATTAGCAGATGTTAGCAAGCTTAAAACCCATATGTTGAAAACCAAATTTAAAAATCATCAAAAGCAAGAAAGTCAAGAATCATCAGAAACAGAAGAAGAGGATCAACAAGAAGATATACAACAACAACAACAACAACAATCATCCAACAATAACAAGCGGAAAGCTATGGAAGAAGGGCTTTCAACAGATAGAACAAGACCCAGATACAGTGGCCTCACTGTGGTCTAATAAATTTTGGCAATTTTTTTCCCCCCCACTTAGTTTGACAATCAAATTCTCATAATTTTTTTTTTTCTTTTTCACTTTTGTGTTTGCTGGTTTTAGAAATAGTGTTGGTTAATATATACAAGATGAAGAGGAATGTAGAGAGAGAACAAGAGAGATTCATCATATGAGAGATCTGTACACAATTTACTTGAAAATATTTCAGTCCAATTTTGTTTTTGCTGATATTAAAAGAAAATATTTTTAAAAAATGAACGTATTTAGCCAAACCTTAACGAAGTTGCAACCGTATTTAGCCAAACATTAACAAAGTCGTGCATCATTAATAAGTTGTGACCAAAGTTGTAACCGTATTTAGCCGAACATTAACAAAGTTGTGCATCATTAATAAGTTGTGACCGTATTAAGTTGTGCTTCATTTGTGTTTGTGTATGTGTATGTGAGTTTTTATTTTTTATTTTGGACAAATTATATTGGTGATTTTTTATTTTTTAAGAGCATACCTTAGACATACCTTAGACCCACGACGGTGACTCACTTTTATAGTTAACAGTGCTCTCGTTCTCTAGAAGTCTCATTTCAAATAACTCAAACACAGTGTTTATCTTGGACTTTTAGTTAGATACGGATGAACTCCTCAAAAGTCTCATCCTTAAACTAAGCGCATCACTTATCTAGGACTCTTGTGCCTTATCTAAATATCTCAGATTCTGATGTTACCGCACCAAATCTCGACAATACTGCAATTACTACAATAACCTAGTTCATCCACGTGGCACCTCGGACAACACCTCGGCCATATCTTGGCCACGTGTAAACACCTCATTTTTGACCGACCTTAAGACTCAGACGTCACCAACTGAGCGCTTGGTGATGTTGCATATTGTGCTCGTTCTGAGGTTGCGGAGTCTCGGCTGCGAACCTTGCCTCCGAACTTCGGGGCTCTTTTGTGCTTTGCCTCGGTTTGCGAACCGAGTCCTGTTTTCTCTTCCCGAAGGGAGGGAGAGGTCTCGTAGACCATCTCTTAGTGGCCGTAGGCTACGTTTCGTGGTCGTAGGCCATTTTTCCCGTTTGGAACTCAGTTTTCGATTTTCGGAGCCGTCGGCCGTGTGCCTCGGTTTGGGACCGCTTAACTACTTCCGTTTGCGCCGGTTTTTGGCACACCCCTTATTTCCTCCTTTAGAGGGACACTGTGGCCCGGGAGACCACCTTCGTGGTCATACGCCACTTTCGATGCCTAACAGCCTGTTTTCGGAGCCCCAGACTGCGCTTTTTGGCCCCCGAACCCTCGTTTTGCATCCGTCTTGGTCTATTTTTGGTAGGGACCCTATTTTCATTGTTAGGGAGGCGATAGTATGGTGGGAGGCCACCTTTTTCCCTTGGAAACCAGTTTTCTCTTTTTCTCTCTTCTAAAGTCGATTTTTCTGATAGAAAGTTGATTTTTCTCACTTTTGAGCCACAATTTCTGGCTTTTCTTACCACCATTGTGTTGTGCTCATCTGGGAGGTCACCAATATGGGTAGGCCGACCAATAATTCTTCTTGACCCTTTTGAACCTTGCTAAAAAGTTGGTTTTTCTCTCTCCTGGGTCACATTTTCTGGTTTTCCACCATACAGCTGTGTTGCACTCATCTGGGAGGCCACCTTTCTGGGGTGGCCGGCTAGCGTTTCTCCTTGAACCTTTTGACCCCTGGTCGGCCGACCAGGGAGAGTGGCCGGCCGACCACCTTAACTGGTCGGCCTGCTTCCTGCTTTTTGGTCTCTTTGAGTGTAAGCCAGCTGTGCCAGCTGGAAGCCTCAGAAGTGATCCTCCATACACGTGTATGGAGGATCTTTGAGCTTGGTTTTTAGCTTCCTTAAGAAGCTTTAGAGCTTCTCCTCTATAAAGAAGGGGCTGAGCTTCCATTGCAAGGGTTGAACCACTTTGAAGGCTTACAACTCTCTCTCTCTCTATATCTCTACACTTGAGCCTCCAAACCCTAGTTTTCTTGGACCATTTGCACTACAACCCTTAGCACCACACCTCCTCCATCCATTCTTGCACTTTGGGACTGATTTGCAAGGGTTGAAGGTTCACCAACTTGGTCCAGAAGCTCCAGCCTTGTTGCTCTTCAAGGGTAAGCACCTATTTCCCTTAAACTTGCATTTTTTTGCTCCATTGATTAGCCTTACTTGCAAGTATTTCTGGACTTTTTCATAAACTAAAAAGTGTCATATTTTGAGCTCCTCTTGAATATTGATTAAAGACACTTTTCTGTTTAAGGCCATCTACCTCCTTGTATGCTCTATCCCTCTTTGTAGGCTTATTTTGCATCATATCTTAGCCCTACTTGTGAGCAATTTCAAGATTTGACATAAACTAAAAAAAGTCTTGTTTTGATCTTCTAAACATGTTTGTTTAAGGAATCTTTTTGTTTGGGGTCATCTTCTTCCTTGCATGCTTCATTTCCTCATGCTTTGAGCCATGCATTTGAGCATTTGCATTGGCCTTGTTTTGGCCTCTTATGTGTCTTTGAGCTCCAAAATTATAGAGGGGTGACCCTCTCACCCCTCATTCTCTTTACTAGCTTTGTTGGCCTTCCTTAGGAGCTCCATTTTGCTTGTTGTGAAGTCAGTTTCCAGGACTTATTTTGTGAGTTTTATGGTCTGCATTAGCTTTTTTCGGAGCCCATTTTGCCATATTTTATGTCTATGATGCATGTGTAGAACAATCCCACTCAAGGCCTTTCAAAGGGTCTTTCATTTGCATGCTTCCTAGGTTAATTTCAGGGCCTTTTTGGTGAGTTTTAGGGCTGTCATAATTGATTTCCAGAGTTGGTTTTTCCATGCTAAGTGTTCTTGCTGTATGTGTTGAGTAACCCCTTGCATGGCCCTCCAAAGGAGCTCATCATTTTTGCATGCATTGGATGCATTTCAGTGGTTATTTGGGGTTTATTTGGCATGAAATACTTCTATTTTTGGCTGGTTGGGTGAGCCCTCATATGCTTCATATAGCTGTAGAACAACTCATGGTTCACTAGCCTATGTTGCATGTTGTTTTGGCCTTTCATGTTGGCACTTTTTGGCCATGCCTTGAACTGATAGTGTGCTTCTTTTGGACTGCCCTAGCTCTGTTTTTGGGTCTTGTGGTTGGATGATGTTAGTTTTGCATGCTTGTAGTTCAATGCACTTGCCTATCTTCGAGTTTTGAGGTTCATTGCATGCATGTACTGAGATATTTTCATGTTTTGAGCCTATCATTCGTCACATTTCAGAGCTTGCTTGAATGCCATATTGCCATGTTTTCATCTCTTTAAATGCGTTTGAGAGTCGGGCTTGTATGCCCCATTTATCGACCATTGAATGAGCTCCATTTCGTCGCATTCCGAGCCATCATTTTAGGCCAATTTCCCACCATTTCAGACCTGCCTAGGGTCTGTTTGGGGTTGGTTTTGCTTTTGGTGCATTGCTTTGGGTACCTCTAGTGTAACGCACTTCACTAGTTTCGGTACCCGGGCCCCCTAACTTGCATTGTGTGCCATATTTGCATGTTTCGGGACCATATTTCATGCTGTTTCAGAGCTGTAATTTATGCTATTTCATATCATGTTTCATCCTTGCCATGCTTTGGTAGAGTGGCATTCTATGCCTTAGGTTCGGTCCTTGGTATCCGTGCATGTGTGCAGACATTTCGGTTGTCTTATTTTCATCTAATGGCCACTGATGTGAGTGTGCCTGAGGTCCACTCATGTTGGTGTAAGTCCATCGTGCATTGTGTATGCCATTTCGGTCCATAGCATTGCGTATGCTAGGTTGCATGTTAGAGCATTGTGTATGCCATGATACGTCGAGCATTGTGTATGCCATTCTATAGCATTGCGCATGCTAGGTTGTATGTTAGTCGCATTGTGTATGCCATCTCGTTTGCATTGTGTTTGGGATAGGAGTTAGCCCAAGCACAGGAAACGAGGGATGTTTCGTACTCTGAGTGAGGGAACGTGTCTCAATTCCCGGTCGCCGACACTCCGGATTACCCATGATGGAGTTTAGGCCTTGTTGTGTTTTCATGTGCATTCATTTCACATCGAGTCGTGCAATTCGACTCCTCGGCCATCATGCATCGAGATGCGTGATTGGTGGCACGAGGATCGAAGACTACACTCCCTGAAGAGTAGTCACGCATACATATGTGAAAATACTTTGTTGTGCCCCTTTCTTGCTCTCTCTTGCAGTAAATCAGAAATCAGCAACTTTCTAAAGCCTTGCACAACATTCCGAGATCAATTGCAAACAGAGGCGAATCGGGGCATCGCAATGTATTTCCTCGCCATACAACTCAAGCATACATCATTCATCATTCGGAACAAGAGCTGAAGCAGTCCATTTTATAATTTGCATGCTAATTTATCCGCTTTCCTCGTTAATTTGTTAATTAATTAGGGTTTTGTATTTATTCGAACTGTAATTATTCTTTCGGACCCTTCGAGCGAGGGCATAATTGTAATAAGTGTGCGTGTGTGTGATGTATGTCTTCCAACCCCACGTCTTTCTCCTTTTTATTTACCAGCTTATGATGGTTAGATTAGGACATGTTTCAATTAGCATATTTATGCTCGTATGTTTGCATCCATTCATCTGTCTTGCATGCACCAGGGCTCGGCACATCATACTAACTGCATTTGTATTTCAATTCCAAATTGAATATGTGTTAGCTGTAGCATCATCATATGCCATGTTAGAATAGCCGAACCTATTGTAGTTGCATTTTTGCATGTGTTGCACTAGGCATTTCTGTATAGTTAGGATCATGCATTGATTTCTAACTAGTTTCTGTTTTGGCTTGGAGTACTCGGTAAGTGTTTATGCTTTAGCATCCCCGCATGTGTGTGAGTGACTGCCATGATAGCATGCTTACCATGAGGCTAATTGCTTATGTTATATACCTGCCTGAATGCCTGTGGGTGAAGGTTAGGTTATTTGGATTGGAACAATTCATCAATTGTGAGTTTTAAGCCCACTTGAGAGTGACAAATCATCATGTTTTCTAAGCCCACCTGAGGGTGGCAAATCCACATTTTAGCCTACTTGCGAGTAACAAACCGTTTTCAAAACAAACATGAGATGTTTCGTTCTAATTCAAGGACCCAGTCTATACTTGTATGCTGTGCGCATCGCATAGTAAATCTAGGCTAATAACCGGAATAAGAGCACATAACGTTTTCAAAACTAGATATCATGGTTAGTAAAGGCCGATCTTTGATCGGGGGAGCAGGGGTGCTCACGAAATGACCTTCCCCAATCGTACCCAAGTTCCTGAGCCGAGGCAACTTTGGTGATGACGGACACGTGGCCTTAGGCAACGAGTTAGGGTTTCCTAAATTTCTCAAAAAAAAAATATTTAGGTGGCGACTCTGTATCTGGCAA